TTTGTAGTTTCTATACCGTGGAAAAAGAATCCAGATATGAAAGTGGATAACTATGAAGTAGCAAACCGTAGATTACCAAGTTTGAAGGGTATGTTGTCGAAGAATGTCAGTCTGCACATCAGGTATATCAAAAGTACTGAAAGTGATTTTACTAAGACTTATGCGGAGAGGGTCTTTGAAATATATCTGCAGTCTTATTATCACCCTCGATGGTACTTACCTCATCATGCAGTATTAAACATGAAAAAACCAGAAGAACTTAGAGTGGTCCTTGATTGTGCCGCCCAGTTTGCAGGGGTTCCCCCAAATGATATGATTTATCAAGAACCCGATACCACTGCTGAGTTAAGGTGTATATTAACAAGTTTTCGCAAGGAGGCAGTTGCAATCCCTGCAGATGTTGAAAAAATGTTCATGCAAGTGAAGGTCCCTGAGTCTGATCGAGGAGCTTCAAGATTTCTGTGGTGGCAGGAGGGAGACATGTCGAGGGAACCATCCGAGTTTCAAATGACATCCCATCCATTTGATGCCACATCATCGCCATTTTGCGCGAACTTTGCCCTGAATAAGACGGCCCAAATATTCTCTGACGGTTATGATGGTTATGTTGTAGATGATGTCAAGAATAATTTCTATGTTGATGATTGCTTGATATCCATTCCCACTTGTGATCAAGCAAAGAGTTTCGTTAAGCATATAAGTGAATTACTATGTAGAGGAAGTATACAAAAAATGACCGATCTTGAATCTTGGTTCAAATGTCCTATTTGATTGCATGGCGAATTTTATATAACAATCACTGACTGTACGGAACCTACTCTTGACGATATTGAGTTTAGAAAAACTGCTGTGGTTAACTTGAGTAGTATAAAGTACAACAAGACACCTGTTCTCTCTTATTATTCCGAGTGGTTGAAATTAGTCAGAGCTGTAACCTGGTTTAGAAGGTTCATCGAATTCCTGGTGGTACTTCGTTTACCGAGTTGTGAAGGATCCGTTCATCTAGGATGTTTAAAGGTCAAAGAGCTTGAGATTGCCAAGCGTAAGATTTTATTGATGGTTCGGAGAGAAGTGTATGGAGAATTACTTAGTGAATTTAAAAACAGCAGTAAAGTAGTAAGCCATGATGATCTGAAAGGTTTATCGTTGATAATGCTTGATGGGTTACTCTGCGTTGCAGGTCGACTAAGATACTCAGATTTCCCAAATGCTTTAAAACATCCAGTAATTTTACCCAGTCGACACTTAGTGACGGAAATGATAGTTAGACATTGTCATAAAGAACAAGGACACATAGGAAGATCATTAGAAAAAGGGTATGGATATGTGTTTACTTGTTTGCAAACATGGGCAGTACATATTGAAATGATGTGTAATTTGATTACTGATTCATTTTTAATGGCTCTATTACGTTTTATTGGAAGAAGAAGGAAACCTCCGGAGATTTACAGTGACCGTGCGTCAAGCTTCGTGGTGACAGTTTCTGAGTTAAGCAAGTTTGTGCAGCAGTCGAATCAGAAGATAAACATTGAATTGTCAGCGAGGCCTTCATCCAAAAGCATGGGTGGAGTTTGGGGAAGAGTGATCAGGTCTATATCACGACTGTTATTGTTGATCATCAGAGAACAGGTGAAGCAGGTCTCCTTGAAGCTTTGGATTAGTCTTTGTTGTTATTGATGTAGTTAGGTCGAGTAGGCGTACTGTTGTAAGTCCTACTCGTTCCTATGGTGTGATATGCTATATAATGAACCATGACCGTAGGCATCAAGGTAGGTTGTGTGGTATGGAGGGATTTTGAGGGCCGGTGTAAGATCCATTTTGAATGTGTTGTGTGTTGGTGAAAATCCCTCCATGTACATACCTTTACTTTATTCCTATTGATCACATTAGTTGTACATTGTTGTATTTTGATTACATTTGAATTGTTAATATTTGTATTTTTGTTATAGTTTTTGTTTTTATTACGCATTCACTAAGTTTGTGTTTCTTCCTGAACTGCATCTGCGTTGTTTTACTTGACACTTGTTCTTGGCGGTAGCCATATTGATTTGTTCCTCCTGTTGTGTGTGATCTATCCAGTCAGGATAGAATAACGTTCATTTGTTGTGATTGGTAATTTTTCCTCATCTTCTATCAACTTTATTTATTGTAATTTAGATTTAATTGATTGAACAATCATTGGTTGAATAGCCGGGTGATAATATTTGTTTAGGTAATGATTTACATTAAATTTATTATGAATTATAGAACCGCTAGTTACCCGATTACTTGTTCTGATTTCGACGGGAAAGGGCGCGTGTCTAAAGTCCCCGGAAGGCTATTCTTTAACATCCAAACCGTAGTTTGGATCCTACACTTATCTCCTCTCTTTATTCAGAGCCCTTTATATCGTGTCCACGAATCTTTCAGCTTGTCCATCCAACTGAGAGTGGTATAGAGGAACTCGTAGATATGCAATGCCACATTTACTACAGAACCGTTTGAAAGCAGACGACATGAACTGAGTCCCATTGTTAGTTACTGAGATCTCCGAAACTCGGAAACAATAAAACAATCTTGACCATTTGCCTATTGTATCCTCTAACGTCACATTAGGAATATCGTATAATTCTGACCACTTCGTGAAACAACACATGATAACCAAATAGTTGCTGTTTTTTCTTTAACCAGAGAAATAAGCGTGTATTTTTCCCAAGGACCGTCCGGTTTGGGCCATGATTGGAGGTTCTGCTTTATTTGGATTCTTTACGGCTCCTAGACAGGATCAACAGCTACGACATGTTTGTTCTATATGACGTTCCACTGACGGCCAGTATACGTAATTCTGAGCCAGTGACTTCACTTTGCTTGTTACCAGATGTCTGCTATTAAACTGTTTTAGGACTTGATGCCGAAGTTTTCTGAGGATAACAATCCATGAATCGAAAATTATCAGGGAGTTTCGTCAACCAAAGAATTGTACTAACCGCTTTAGGGGTTGGAGGGGTTGGTTAGCTAATTTCAGCAGTACTTTATATCATAAACAAAATGTAGAAGGAACTTTCACGAAACCTGTTTCTTTCGCATCGACAACTGCATCCACACTACTTTCAAGCATTCAAACGACCCATCGAATACAATCAACTTTTTCTGTTTTGAAGGATATTAAGTCTACTGGTTTCATGAACCAGAAAATAACTAGTCTAGAGCACTTCGCTGTGAACAGATCACCTGGACAATTGGCAACGTCTGTTATAAATAGTGTTGGAGATTCCACCCTATCAACAACTGTATTTTCAAGAAAAATAACTTTTCATCCATTGTTGTTGCCAAAAAACAAGACATTTATCAAAACAGCGAACGTTTCACATAAATCCTAGCCTACTCAAAATACAGGATGATGTTTTCTCTCATACACATTCGTTAAGTGCCCAATGTTCCTCAACAATCATACTCTCAGTAATACAGATTTGTGAAAACGATTACGATTAGAGGTTATCACAGAGAGTCAGGCAGTGATAGTGATATTTATGCGTAAGAAACGTGAAAGTCAGAGGATTAAAGTTTGACTTTGTCGGACATCGGGATTAAATAATTGAAAAAAAGGAAAAGAGAAGCAAGTTCCAGTAATCTTCCTGGATTTTCCTAAACAGCAGTACAACAGATATGACATTTGAATATTATCGAACAGTTTACGTTTGTAGTTGCCAGTAAACTGAATAACCAGGTTGTCCATCAAAATACATGGTACCGGTTCTGGGCAAAACAACACTATTAACGGTATTACTTAAAGTGGTTATCCCAAACGAACACTACAACCAGTGTTACCCTTCAAACATCTTTTTATTTTAGTATCTACTTCACCATTATCAATAGGCAAATGACTGCCTTCCTCTCTAACGTTACATTCCAATTCAGCAAGCCCAAACCCAAAACTTTTAAGCTTTTTCCTAATTTCGGTATATTTTCCGATTGTTTCTTCTTAAGTAGTGCTTTACCTTGCTTGAAAACAGCATAAATTGGCCGATCAGAACACATACTATGGATATATATCATATTTATTCTCATTGACACCAAACATACCATAAACAGCTGTGGGAATGTCACTTTTTAATTCGGTATTTTTTATAACATTTTACTACTCGTTTTCATGGTATATCTTCATTCCATAAAGCCCATTATATTGAGCCAAACCTAAATTAATCCAACATATATCATTGAAGTCAATGAGTAGAATTAAATTTTGATCTAAATTGATCGTCCAAACAAATGGAACTGTTAAGTATCCTCAAACCGAATCGAAGAACTGTTAAGTTACGTCTGAATTTTGAAACATGGCTGATTGATCCGCTAGTGGCTTAAACCCCAAATGACAGTATAACCAAATTTCGGGTCAAGTACCATGGTTTATTCGAAGGTTACAAGTAATAAACACATATATATCGTTCCAATAATAAATACTACAATTACACGACAAACCTTCCATTTTTAGGCTTTCGGAACAAAAGCGAAGTGGTGCAAACAAAAGTGTATTTAAGAGAGACTTTAGGAAACATCCATACGGTGGTTGCGGTAAGTTTTTATTCAGGATGCCTGAGTCAAGTCCGAAATGAGGCCCTGATTCAATGCTTTGATACTAATAGGCTATTGGCTGTCCGTCAACCACCTAATTAAGACTGCAACGAAATAAGCTCAGACAGAAACGAGTAGAAAATCAAACTCAAAGCAGTTAGCAGTTAGTAGCAACAATTAATACTAGGGTAATTTTGTATACTGGTCCCCATTGTACTAGTGAAAAATCGAGTGAATGATGGAGGAATAGAATGTTTACATGCATGCATTTTTAAAATTAAATGAAGTGAAACAACACGTTGAAAAACTTGCAAAGTGCATGTGATCATCTTTCAGACACTTACCACTTTTGTTGTTAGAATTGTTCTGAATGGTCACAGCGCGCGGTATGTAAACCCCTCGACCCAGCCTGCCATCTCTGCGGGCTCAATTGATGTGGGTGTTTATCGATGTTCTACGCTGTAATGAGCAATTCCTTAAACTCCATCATGCTGAAACTAAGAAATTCCATGGATTCGACCCAGAATGTAGGTTTTTTAACATCTTACAGTTTAATCCAAACCATATGTTGAATGTTGATGGGCATACTTCAAGTGATTACATGAAATTAAAATCTTTTGCACCTTACTTAGACAGATTTATTAGTAGAAGTGATCTGTCTGACTGTGCTCATGATGTGTATAGTTTTCTGCTTACATGATCAGTAGATAAACGAAATTAATTTGCCTTGTTAAAGTCGGTTGTCGAACGACTTTATGTAATAACTCACATTGTAAATAAACACAGTAATTGCCCTGTTCTTTTAAACATTATTCTGAGTATTTTAAAAAGACAACTTCACTATATTCTACCACCCGTGTTTTCAATGCCGGGCTTTTGCTGCTTATTGTCGGCTAGTTTGGAGGTCGCTGTGTAGACTGGCTTGTTATGTTGTCGTGGAGGCTTGGTAGTAAAATTTCGGATGACTTCACGACTCAATGCCCTTCTAATGTGTCGTTCCTCCTGCCAAATATAATAAGTTAGTGCTTGCTCAGTAATCCCCTAATATTTGAGATCCCGAACTAGGTTTGGTGTTATCTGTCGGTATATCTCAGCAATTAACTTTACAATAGGAATTCTTACAGACTAATTCACTCATCTTGTATGCATTCAAATAATATGACTGGAATGTTCTGATAATAGGGCATATTACAATTAATATCGTTTTACTCATTGTGGTAGTATAAGCACTGATGGCGTTTTCATATCCCATATGAAGATTGCCTGAAGTTTGATTAATATCGCTAGTGAACAGTAAATGAGACATTAGTTTTAGCTGACCATTTTAACATAGTCCATGATGGCCGAGAAAATAGTGAATACTTAAGTCGCTTAGCTTGCAAAACACTGCCTAACCGATAGTCACTAGGCGGGCTAATTGCCCACATTCGAGTCGTGCAGAGCAGATGGGTTCCTACCATAAGATTGCAAATATGATTACTCCTAGTCCTCAAAAGTGAGACCTACGACCACCGCCGTATCGTAAATATCACATGCTTGTTGTGACACCATTACTACAAGAATGCCGGCTTCATTGTATTAACCTATGCAGTTTTTGAACCTACCCGTCTACACTGATTATGGTCAGTGTACTGCTTTAATGGCAATCCTTCCGTAATCTTGTTCCGTTTATGAAAAATATCAACAAATATCTAGATTATTCATCGTGAACTTCTTACTGACTTCACAACCCAGTTAAGTCGGTGTTGTAACTTTAACTGGGGATTAATTTTGATCTGACCGCTTTTCCAACAGGCTCAAAGATCACATAACGAAAGCATTTACCGTCAATGGTGTATTTTTTACTTGTTAAGAGCTGAACTAGGACTAGTCTTAACCCTTTATTATTTAATTTCAGTTCTTTTTTCATAGTTATGTATTTTCTCTTAGTGTTGTCATGTGAATATGAGTTACTGTCAGTCATTTATGACCAACGCGGTACCTGATATGTAAGTGCACCTTTTCAGAAAGCTACACCATATTAGCACAGCGAGATGAAGTCAAATTCCATAGTGGTAGTAGTAGTAATAATATAACTAACAGTAGTCGTATTAGTAGAAAGATCAAGTTTAAAAACGAAGGAATACTTTATACATTTTCTTTATTTGGTTCTAATAAAGTCATCATTAATGTAAACTGAGTGGAGATTTAAAAAATACAGTAAACAAACATCCTACATTTATAATATTTCCTGTTTATTTTCTACCTGCCAACATGTGATTCTTCAGATAGTTAGCTAACATCAAAATTATTCAAATTTGATAGGAAAATCCAGTTACCGACGGCTCAGTCACACTTATAAGGGTTTGTTGTTGTAACAACCCATCAGTCATCTACAACGTAGGACCAGACACATACATGCATCAGCCCAAGTTGCCACACCTCTTTAGCACAACAAAATAAGCATCAAATTCATAGAAGTAGTCACTTCAATTGTAGTAATATATGAAAGAAAGATTGTGTATAATGACATAGTACAGAAAGAAAGAAACAGTTCATAGAACGAAGGATATAAAGCGATTTTAATCTTATGGTTTAAAGAAAGACAAAGAGTGTATGCATCGACGCCATTGTGATAGATTCTGGACCATATCACCCAGAGTCTCCAACCATTGGTTACGACAGTCATGTGGACTCCAATCAAGCAGTATGCATCTACCAACATGGCTAAGACGAGAAGTTAGCGACTTCAATGACTGATGCCATTTTTTCGTTTGGCTCCCCATAACTTTCTCCAATCTTCCTTCAACACTAGTCAGCTTTGCGCGTCGTGGTAGTCGGTAGTTGGACATGTGCAATACGTCACCCAACCATCTCAGTCGATGTAGATTCACAACCTCACCAACTAAATTACCATCATTCCCTAGTATCTTCCGTCTAACCTCACTATTACTTATCCAGTGATCCCAGCAGATGCTGGCAATATTTCTAGGACATCTGTGATCAAATACTAGTAACTTATGAGTATCTTCTACTCTTAATGGCCACGTTCTGCAGCCGTGAAGTTCAGGTGTTGACGCAGGTCAGTTCTGAAGCAACGATTTGCAATTAGAAAGGGGGGAAGGGCATCCCTAACATTCTGGCATTGTTGCTCAGTGCTATCAAAAGACTGCATTTTAGAGTCTTCACCAAACAGGATCATATCATCTGCATATTCTAAGTCGATAAGTGGACCTCCTGGTAGGAGATCAATGCCCGAGAATTCAGTCGACGAAAGCGTTATTTCCATCAGTAAGTTTATAATGAAGTTAAACAAAAGTGGAGAAAGCGGACAGCCTTGTCGGACACCACTTGAGGTTGCAAAATCAGATGACAGTTCGTCATAAGCTCTGACTCGACTAGTAGTGTTCGAGTAAAGAGCCTTCACAAGATTTACGTACTTCTGAGGTACGCCTTTCGATGACAGACACTGCCATAGAACCTCTCAGTCTACAGAGTCAAATTCTGCTTTTAGGTCAAGAAAGACCACCATTGCCAGACGCCGATAAGCATGCCTGTGTTCTAGAACCTGCTGAATGGTGAATATGTGGTCGATGCAGCCACATAAAGGTCTGAAGCTAGCCTGATGTTTCCATGTTTGCAGTTCACTAGTCTTTCTTAGGCACCCGATAAATATTGAAGCTAGTATTATAGATACTATGTCATTCAACCTAATCTCTAAAACCTGATCATCAATTTGGACCAGTTGTCCTCCTCGGTTCAGATTAGTTATAGCGTTTTGATCTTTATTCATTTTCAGTGTTTATCTAAGTCAGTGTTCCACCCTTCGCTCTGGATGTCTAGACAGAGAACAGATAAGTGTCATCTTTTTCTGAGATTGTTTCACACTTGACTCCCTAATTCCGGTTTCTTTTGTTAATCTGTAAAGCTGTCTTGTGTTACCTAGAGCCGCTGTCTTTCCCATCTCTTTGGCTTTCGTTGTCTACCACTCCTGACTGTCGTTCCTTAAACTTTTGATTAACATAGATCTAATCTATTTTGTTTATCATCGTGTTCGTAGCTGATGGGATAAGTTTATAAGAGTATCAGTGCAGTAGATATCGCGGAAATCCATTGGTTTTTCGTGACTCTTTGATTCAAATTATTAATAGATGTCGCTGCTGTTTCCAAGAAATATCTGGGTCAGCCTCGTATCCAGAACCACCTAAGTGTGACCTCAGTTGTTCGTGAAATCTGCTTAAGGTCCACGGTGACCTACTTTCTGAACTAGCTACATCAAATGTTCGTCAGGTGTGCAAACTTTCTCCAATTCAATTTTGTTGCAGATAAAACTTTAGCAATGGCACTTTCTTCGTTTGATATTCCAGGACCTGATCTACCAATGGCTTTCCTTATCAGTTTGTGGTACTCAAATGACGTAATTGTTGTGTCGAAGATGATAAAATACTTGTGTCGCGGAGTTATGAAGTGTGTTGCCTACCTAACTTATCTTAGAAGTCTGATCGATCTCGGCGTGTTTGTACTTGGCGAAATTTCGCTCCAGATAAGCGTTGAATGATTATCGAATCTAGTATATCAGACGTTATAATAGTACAATATGTCCTGTTGTTATCCTATGAGGATTTCTAGCTAGTATCTCCGTCAGAATAATTTCTAAAATTAGACCATTATCTTTAAAGACCCGTAGTTAAGATACCAAGTTCTGATGATTCCTATCTGTTTGAGTTAGATAGGACTGTTTCAATTTCGATAAGATTCAGGGAACTTGTTGGATTTCCACCTTGGTAATTAAAAAAAGTAGGTACCTGTTAAACTGTTTCTGGAAGTCTTCCACATATTGTTTTAATCTCTTGAACTTTAAGAGGATCACGTTCCTGACTCTTTGATGAATCAAAACAGTTGTCTTGTGTTGCATGTCGTTACTTTTGCTACCCACCATTACTCGTGATTATCGCGTAAACCTTTTTGGTCTACGTCAAGGTTGTCATCACTGTCTATCGTCCTCTCAACCTGCCTAGGTGAGTTTCCGAGCAGACATTGATCTAGTTGAATTTTCCTAGTCATTTGGTGTAAGTTCCTTGAACGCGATCAATTCCGGAGAGGAAGCAGCGGCTGTTCTGTATATATCCGCACTACCAGCCATTTGTTTAGAATTGTCGTTTGTAAACTTTCTGTACACATCAACTAGATTTAAGCATTAGATTAGGCCGTAACATAGTTCCTCCAGTTTCACTTACCACATGACCATGAAGTCATTAAATGTGCAGTCAGTTGATTTTAAGTTTCAAATTATTTGATTCTTTTTTTCTTGTAGATCCGTTTTTTCCCAAACCATTTTCTTTTTATCATGTCTTTTTTACTCCAGCTCATACTTCTACTATATTAATTTCGTCTCACTGTGCTGTTGTGATATGGAAACTTAGGGTGATGCAGTATGTTCCAGGTTCTGCGCTGCCTGACTATTTCATTCGAAATTATAGCTACAATTCAAGTGCCTATTCAAATAAAAAATATCCATCTGTTATTTCATTTGAAAAATGTGCTTTCTTAACTTTAGGAACTTCTTATTCATTCTACTTTGTAGGTAACAGATTTGAATGCAGTGTGTGACGTCATCGGTCATTTGGAGAACTTCCCGATGACTATGATTCAGTTACAGGATACTAGGATTGGTCAATTGTTACAAACCATTCGTCACAAGGTTGATCCACCTCTTCAAAAACGCATTCGACTTATTATCAAAGCATGGCAAAAGCTACTATCCTCTGAATATTCACATCAGTTTGTCATTCCTTTGAAGACTTCGGACAAAAATATACCTACGTCACCTAGGTCGAATGGCACACCAATTAAAATATCTGCTCGTGAAAGATCCAGGCAACCAACAGACGCTGTAAATGCAATATACTCTCCTCAGATGAAAAGCTCCGTACATCTCACAAAGAGAAATTTCCCCGATTCTCCCTCAGAAAAACTCAACAAAGATGATTCACAAAAATCTGCTGTGCATCTAACACACCAAAACGATAACTATGTTTCAAATATTTCTAAACGTCTGAAGTGCGTAGACACAACATCAACAGTCGTTCAGATCAAAAGTCCGAGTAACCTTGTGAATGGTAGTAAATGTATGGAATCACAACCTCAGAATACCGGATTTAGAGAAAAGTTAGATCCTTCAGTACCTCAAACAATTATTTCAACAGCATCTCGATCTCCTTCATCGAAGCTCCGAGTAGCGAATTCCATGCGTTTGACGAAAGTGAAATCAACTGCAGAACTGGTCCAGGCTGCAGGAGATTGTATTGATTCCGTAACTGCTGACCGCATTCTTACAAACAGAATCAGCAAAGAAGTCGACCCTCCTCGAGTATGTTCAATAATGCAACCCACAAAAACACGTCTGGCTCGTGCAAACTCTGGTTCTCAGTCAAGTTTACGCTGTGTCTCTGCCAATAATAATGAAACTTCGCATTCTCCTAAATGTAACACAATTTTAGATTCAAAGTCGGAAATACCCTTGGAGTGTAGAGAAAGTCCTGCTGTATACGAAAAAGATCACAACCTAACTTCTGATTCGGTTAAAAGTGTTATACCTTTTGTAAACGTTTCATCTATCAATAATCAAAGTCCTATAAGCTATAATAGTGAAAATATATCCAATCGACTATTATTCAAAGATCTTGAGAACAACACTGCGTCAATCGCCCAGAAAGTTAAAAAGAAAAAGAAGCATAAACATCACAAGGATGAAGCTGAAATATTAGATCCTTCCAGACTACATTCCAACCAACTAAAAAGCCATCGTAAAAACAAAACGGTTTTCCCCCCTGTGACTAATTTTATGAATGATTGGCCTGACCTACCGTGTTTGCCGGAAAACATTGACTGGCATAGCCTTGATCGCAGTTATGTAACTGTCTGTGATAACAGTTCTATAGAAATTTCAGAATATAACTCTCCCCAAAAGTGTACAGTAGGTGCAGAAACTGAATATGCTTGTATTTCTCCTACAAATTTACACTCAATCATCCTAGATGATCAGTATTTACATATACTCCCTTGGGTTGATATGATTGGTTACAAGCGTCATTTCTTCCCTTCTTGTTCCGATCAGGAGTTGAGTGAACTAACTACAATGCCCGAGCCTTGGTGATACATGTGATCCCGTTGATAAATCTTTATTTATGGTGCCTTTCTATGAGATAAACTGACCTGTTCTACTTGCTTCTTTCAACGTGTGACTAATTTTGATGTATCCAAATTTCCTTTGGTTCAACAATGATGCAGATACCATGCAGCATTTATTTAACTCGTCAATAGTATGGTTTTCCGCTGTTCGGAACTGGATTACGTTCAGCTCGGTCTGGTATTTCGACAATAATTCAGTCACTTGTTTGTGTACCGAACATAACTACCCATCTAGTCTAAGTGGTTTTTGGTACTTTAAATTGGTGGACCACTTTTGCCCTGATTGCAAATACACACATATCGAAAGCCCAATCCGTGCTTTTTGGACGTTTTTACTCGTTGTGGGCTCGTAAATTTTTGTACATATATTATTTGACTGTTTGCTTTATAAGATTTGAAAAAAAAACAAATATAAAAAAATACTTAGACATTAAATCTTTTATTGTTATTTTGTCGTTGACTTTTCATTGCGCTGATATCGTCTTAGTCAGTCGCATATCTTTTAATTATTTGTCTTTGCATCGAGGTCACAAAATAAGCACTTGGGTCTCCTTCTCCAGTCACTTGTTACTGTCTGGATGAAGTTTTTTTCACAGTTAGGGCACTGAAATGAAGAAATGTTATGACTTAGTTTTTTTTTTATTATTTAAATCCTCACGATTAAAACTAGTTCGTACTGCATCATCCGTACCATTATAAAGTGGTCCTGATATAGGAAGGATATCCTTATATGTCGATACTTTGTCGTTTGGTTTGCGATAACTAATAAACAATTCGGACTCATACCACCTGTCACTACTTTATTATCCATCTCACCAGTCACGTGTGCATTAATTGTATATCAGGAAGTAACCCGCTTTAGTGGTCAAATAATTCATAGTAGCTTTCGTCTCGATTTAATATGGTTTTATCCCTAAATGTAATAGTCTGTCATCCCAATTTTATTCCCTTACAAAAGCTGGAACCAAATGTGCAATGTTAGCCGTTTTTCGATGCCTATTTCACTGTATAGTAAAAATATATGCGAATCATACATCTACTTGTCGCCAAATGTTTCTGGTTTTTTTCCGGAAACCCTATTAAGTGTTTTGTTTGGGTCACAATTTCAGATAACTCGATGACATCAGATGGTCTTGTGAACAAAATGCGCTAACCAGTAATTTATCTGTTAAGCCCAATGTTGAATTGGTGTATTTCCTCAAAAAGTCTTTATGCCAAAACTTAAGAATTTGTTGCTGTCTGTTTCTGTAAGAAGTGTTACAAAGAAACCATCCTGGAGGTCAATTGTTCATTTCTCGAACTTTCCTTTTTGTCAGACGTAAGAGGCAATACTAAATGGTGGTTATTGATTTTTAATACATGCGGTTGAGAAGTTCGGTCGGGACGGGAAGGATCGTAGGTGTTGTCACAACTTGAAGTTGTAGCGTTTGCACACCGTAATGGTGACTCGACCTTTTCTGAATCCTCGTTATCATAACTTCGAGAACCACGTTAGATCTGGAGGACAGTAATCCTATTCATTCATTCAGAATGACTTCCTAAGAACTAAACTTTTGCGGAACGTCTGTTCCGTTTGCACTGCAATTACTTGGTATTGAGGGGTTTCTTCGTGATATTTTTATCCTGACTTTCTCTTGTTGGGTACTATCCTTCATATCAACCAGAATGCACTAAAGACAACGAAACTAAGGTCTGCAGTCAAAACCCATGTGGCTCAACTGTCAGTTTTAGATTTATATGGGTTTTTAGTTCTGTGGTAGGATCCTAGACAAATTTACTGACGTTTTTCTTTCAAGCACAATGGTTTTTGATAGATGTGGTGAGTCTGTCACAGGTCTTCGCACCCTATCGATGTACATTTGACTTTTGAAAATGTGAACTATGTTCACTTATCCTGCCCAGCGTCAGTCATTCACTTTGTAATTTCTTCGTCCGTAAATTGGGACAGTGTATACACGATATGTATGTCATGATATTGAATATGAGAACTCATTTTCTGAGACATCGTGTAGTAAAAATGTATCAGTCAAATTACTTCCGAAAAAAGTCCACCTATTAGTAAAAATGACACCTTCGTTACAATTGTAATCTTACTATACTTACCTTTAAAGTAAGAACAGTTTGCTCATTGCCAGGTAAATAACTAAATGGCAACCTCTCAATCACTTCCATATTCCATGACCTTATCAGTCTGTCCTAAAACGTTGGTATTGATAATAGGATCTACTTTTGATGCTGTTAGAATCCACTTCCCATCTTTCGTCATGTGTACGTCATTAATCCAATCTGTATGTCTCTGTTTAAAGTATTCTATAAATAGTACATGGTAATACCTTGAGACACAGCTTGACTTCTTTTTTCTCAGTATCCCATAATATAACACACTTGTCGTGACCTCCAGTCGCCAGATAGATCCCTAAGTAATATTAGGAGTGAAACTTGGTCCTCACCATTATCGTCGATGTCACAGCTACTTATAGAACCAGTGTGACCATCAGCTAAAATCTGTGGTCCCTCTCTCCTGTAGTTTCCAGTCTCAATGTCGTATAGATGAACCGCTTTGTCCCATGATGTTGTTACCAGCAACTTTCCGTCTCTAGCGATGGCTGCCGATGATACAGCATTCCTATGATCACTAAGAATAATTTAATTTGTAAATTCCACAAATCAAACCGCAAGGTCAGTAATGTTTTGAGAGATCGCAAGTCTGTGCATTTTGCGGATCCATCTGTTGATGTTGTAACTACACAATTTTCATTCGGAGTAAACAGACAACCTGTTGGTGTATTTTCGTGAATATCTTAAAGCCAAATTAATCTTATCAGATATGAATGATTTCACCTGGAATCGAAAAAACTTTCTTTCGCCATCTTAAATCCCATAAGTTCATTTGGCAGCTGATATCAGTAACACATACCAAACAATTACCATCCTTGGTGATTGAATGATCAGTAACTGCACCTCCGTTCAGTAGGACAAACTGGGTTACGTAGTGAAAAATCTACTTTTACCTTGAGTTTTAAAGTTTCATAATCAAACAAACAGGTTCTAAAATCCATCCCACTTGATATAATACTGTAGTAGATTAATTAACATAAACATAATCTTACTTTAACCCATTACTGTCTATGTTTACGCTGTTGAGTTGTGTAGCATGTTTTGATGTGATACCTATTTGTTCCCTCGTTTTAAGAGACCACACGCGCAGTGTTTGGTCGCAACTCACTGAGACGACATGTTCAAGTTGGTCGTTGTAACTTAAGCTTGTTACTGAATCCGTATGACCTTGGAAAACAATATCATTAGACTGGTTATAGGTGGTAGGATACAAAATGGTGATTACGTGTTCATTTTCCATTGTAAGAACACTGCATCCAATGACCGACGAAATTTAGAATGATCTAGGATAAGAACGATTATGAATTCTTTGTGTCTATCAATATAATCTTGGTCTGATGTTATTAAACTTAGTGATTTTGTTTCACATGAGAATGCTACACACTTCACTTCTCTAATATTTCGGTCAGCTGTCAACCGCTATGGGTTTAGGAATAAATATTAGCTTACGAAGGCTAAAATTTGTCTGAACACCTAATGGCCAAATTTTTTTGGTTTGTTCTGATTTTTATTGCTTCGATATTAAGAATGATGTGTTCTCATAAACTAAATTAGAATGAGTGCACATATTTTGTAGGTGACTTTTAATTCTGATGAACTTTGTTAGAAGACTTTGTCGGTATCAATAACATTTTTGTGATTAAGGTTAACAGCCTAAACATTATGAACAAACTAGGGCCTAGTCTTCATTCTATTTAGTGTTCTCAACTTCAAGTTATTGTTGATTCAAAAGTTGTGCAGTAAAACGAATCAAGATTTACGATGTATTAAGATACATGATCGCTAGAACTTTATTTTTAAATTCACTCTTTGAAATGCATCGAAAAATTCCAGCATTGACTGAGGATTATTACGTCCTTATAATGGCAGAATAGAATGGATTTTCGTTCGCAGTAAAATCTCAACAGTTACTGAGGATAAAAATTATGTGTTGACTGTATAGGTATGCTTAAAGTTTTCATGAGCATAGCTCAGGGATTTAAGGGTCATGGATTTCGATTTTTTGTGAAGCTGAGTTACTATTCCTCAAGTACTCCGAAAGTGCAACCTAAAATATAATACCTACGGAACCAATTAGATCTAAACCCGAAAGGATACTGGGAAAATTGGTAAAGCTGATACTTCTGTTAAGTCTGATTGTTTATTAAAATCGTAGTGTTGTTTTGTGTTTGATGATCTTATGTGACTACATGATGAATAACGACAGGGATATAAATGCATACAAAAAACAAAACATCTGAAATATTTTAGCCTTTTCGACGTAGAATCGGACAATTTAAAGAATTTAATGTTAATAATATATCACTAGTTCTTAAAATAGCAAGAATAATTTAGTTCCCGGAAGTTAGGAAGCTAATGTTGGCTACAGTAAGCCCAGTGGTTTGTCGAACTGTGAAAATCCGATTTGGACTTGATTGCATCAACAGCAGTTACTAATACTACATATCCTTTTAGCGAATTGCTATAAAGACTTGGAAACTACACAACCCTGCCCGAACTAACTGCAACACCGAATATGTTCCTACTTGGGAATAGCTACAGGGCACTAAGTGGTTTATTACAAATCAATAATATTAACAATCTCCAATGCCGAATTATTTGTGTGAGATTGGCACATGCAATAGCATAAATGACCTTGTCTGTCGATTCTTCTTTCCATTTTCATTTAAATAAACCCTGATAAGACTTTGTTCTAGATATACCAAAGAAACAATAAAGCATGGCTATCATACGAAGGTGAGGTAGACTAGGGAACCTTTGTATAGTGTAGAGCCGATTTAATGCTATATAAATTAAATAGTTACACTGATTTAGTCAACTACATAGTATATTAGAACTAAGTGTTCAGCTTGATTATAGTCAAGTTCTTACAATAGATGACTTGAGATTCTTACCACAGAAACGTGGTCCTAAAAATATAATTCTGTCGTACTTTGAAATATTGTTTTCGGAATTTAACGTGTGAAGAAAATAAAAAGTAGTTTATGATGAATCTACCCGTTCATCCTCGAAACAGATTAGATATTAGCTTCAATATATACTTACAATCCGTTGTACTTTTTTACGATGTCACAGACACTTCAATAATATGTTAGATAAATTACTAAGAATGTACTTATTAAACACTTGTTATGATATCGCTTAAACATATGTTGCAAATATTGCTTATTAGCAGCGTTTTGAAACCACAGACAATTATGAACAGCTTGTTTGGCACCTTAGGTTTACAGACGCATGAAACTAGAGTTATAAAGAAACACAGTTGCTGCATTTAAGTACAGCTTTACGACACAGCTATAGAAAGCCAGATGATCACTTATACAATTCAGCCTTCGATGTATTGCGTCCACAGTGAAGCTTTGCTATGATTTGAGTGAGGTTCAAAGCAGACTTTAAGGATTTCACAGAATTATCACACTATCTTATCAACACATTAATATGACTCGACGATCAGATAACACACAGAAAGTCGCTTAAATTTATTCATATAAGCTTTTATCGATTGCTAGCATTCGATAACAACACATTTATACAAGCTTGAAACTAAGTTAGTTTGGTAGTCAAAACTATACTCGTTAGAACTTATTTTCAAACGCAACTCGATTAGTTAGTTGGAATCGCCGTCGTAGTAAATCCTCTGATGAGATGCTTACAAATTCTCAGGTCAATTAACTTCCAACGAAATTCAACTGCTCAACTAAGAATGTTGATACAACCAAATTATTATTCAGTTGTGAGGATTGTAGTAATTTCAACAGTTGAGATCATGGGTCAACTGTTGAAATTACTGCAATCTCCACAAAACCCCTTCTGATACTAATCAAAGATCGTTCTTATATTATGGTGCTGCTAACGTTAGAACCTGAATATTTAATCTGCGCGGACCTAACTCCATAGTGATAGGTACCAAGCTATGTAGTAAAATAGTATCTGGCAAATCCAGTTTTGTACTGCGGAAATAATATCAGTTAGTAATGTGTAAGCATTCTTGGCTACTAGAACAATAAGCAAATAACGTCGCGAATCCTCTTAGTATTTGTTTTAACCTATCTGTAACCCTGGACCGATTGCCAAAAGACCGGAAGAACGGAATAGTAAGTTTTGCCTTCAAGGCATAAACCTGAGAGCTGTCGACCAGTAAGTCTAACCGGTATGCCTACTAAATCTTTAAGAAAGAATGTTCAGGAGGATTCGTTCAAGTATCGCAACAACACCCTGATTCTTTCTAAAAAGCAGCACGGCTTAAAACATGTTATTTACACCTTACTAGCCCATTAATAGCTGTTAAAAGTTGGTGAGCTTTCAAAGACCAAAAGTTACCTATAGATATGGTTTACACTGAATTTAGAGAGGCTTTTGACAAAGTTCATCACAACTGGCTTTTATATAAGTTAAGGAATGTCGGGGTTGGAGGCAATTTATTAACGTGGATAAAGGACTTCTTAGTTGGGCGTCAACAAAGCGTACAGGCGGACTCAAATTTGTTTAGCTGGAGAATAGTGTTTAGTGGAGGGCCTTAATGTACAGTTTTTGGGCCAGTGCTGTGACTTTTTTATGTAAATTATCATTCTAGTCTCCTATCGCTGTCGGTTTTGTTATGTGCTGATGATGTCAAGATATGCAGGGCGATAATGTAAATAGATGAAGGTTAAGAGCTTCAAAATGACCCGGAGAAATTATCGGACTGATTTAAATTTTGGTAGTTGTCGATAAATGCTCCCAAGTGCATTGTGGGACACATCAGTCAACAAGGTATTGGGACATACACGATGAATAAAAGTGAGCTGCATGTTGTCTAGACATAGTGACTTAGGATTCATCGTTAGCCAATGCTTAAAAATTACTGTACACTACTGTGTCCTAGCCGACATAGGTTTTGAAATCCTATGGTCAATAGGTATGCTGTACTTGTGCATCTTAAACTCGATTACTACATAAAAGCGAATACATCTACCTAAAAAGAAACACCAGGTAGTTGAAGTGGGTCCAAAGAATCACAATCAAGCTGACCGTATGATGTTTGACTGACTAAACTGAACCAATTTTTCTCTTAGAACGTAGAGTTTACGAGGACACTTTAAAAATGTTCACAAGATCAGAACAGATAACTTGCCCGCTGACTATCGACCTTCCTATCGAATCATCAACGAATGGAATCCATTAACCCAACACGTGATTAAAGCTCCATCTTTTCACGCCATCAAAAAAAAATTGGATAGCTCGAGATATCATAGTTGTCATGACTAACACAGGTCACTCAGACTACTGTCCTATCCAAAATGAAACTAAATATTTTATAAGAATGTTGTGTGTCATCGGTACTAATCGTATTCGACTTTGCCTCCAGAATAATAGACCTGTCATCATACGGTGACCAAGTCTGTAAGATCTCACGTGGAATTCACATCATTGTCAATGCTGTCTTGTCTTACTGTGACAATTAGTAGTATGGTGTTTCGCACTTCTGGAGTATACATTTTGGCTGGCAACAGAATATATTTAATATGAACGGGAAAACTTAACATAGAGCGATCACGTCTGCACAGTCAAGCAGTAACGACTCAGTGGCATCATCCATTGACGGAAGTCGCCGAACGCATGGGGCTTGTGCACCACCCTAACAATCTAAGTTTTTCAGGAAGCTCTTAAATTTTGATCCTAGTTCAACCACACTATCTGGTAGCCTCCATTCTTGAAGTAAGGAAAGTGATGCCATCGTAATAATGCATGGTATGGGACGAGTCTTCAATGATATTATCTTATCAAAACAATCTACTAGAAGAGATAATTTCAAGACCTTTCTGAAAGAAGTACCTAAAGTAACGATACATCTGTGGATAACAATTCTTTGTACAGTATGGGTACACTAAGTATGTCATGTCGGTTTGTAAAGAAATGGAAAGCCACCCAACTCTGTTTTTTTCGTCAGATATGCCTGTGAAGATGTATGTAAATGCAGAACATCGTGGTCAGATGTCTTCAGTGTACTACAGTTAATGATGACGAAGAAGCTACATCGTCAGCATGCACTGTTCTGATTGACCATAATTATGTTTCTAGATAATAATATATTTGTAACTGTGATTGTTCTTCAGTTAGAAGTAAATAATTTTTTATGTGGCTATCAACTTGTTCTTACAGCGTTTCGGTAGGAAGGCATCTATGTGGTCCTGTTACTGTGTGTTTCTGAAACGTTAAATCTTCCCATGGAGGTTTAGGACTGGAGATGCTCCGTCTCTT